TATGATGGTCACCTGTAATGAAATCAAAGTAGCCATTAATAAATTGGTAAAAGGGAAAATGTATTGGAAAAGACAGACTGTGCTCGGAACATATCATATTTGCGGATCAAATACTGTATGTTCTACTAGCCTTGTGCTTTACTGCATTCTTTGTTCATGGACACCTGCCAGACTATTTTATGGATACAATGATTGTCCCAATTGTTAAAGATAAGACTAAAGATATCACAAGAGTGAATAACTATAGACCTGTTGCTATAGTAACCGTTTTATCGAAATTATTTGAGTTGTGCATTTTAAATCGAATTGAAAAATTTATCGAGACTAGTGATTTTCAGTTTGGGTTTAAACGCAAGCATTCAACAGAAATGTGTATCTTCGTAGTGAAGGAAATTGTCGACTTCTATAAAAGTCACAACTCGCCCGTTTTTGCTTGTTTTATGGACGCAACAAAAGCGTTTGACAGGGTAAACCATTGGAAGTTATTCAAAAAATTACTTGATAGGGGAATGCCTGTATTCATTGTGCGTTGTCTATTGCATTGGTATCGAGGTCAAACTTTATGTATCCGATGGGCTTCAGAAATATCTGCGTCCTTTAGAGTGACCAATGAAGTTCGACAAGGAAGCATTCTTTCGCCGACGTTATTTTCAATTTATATTGATGATCTCAGTACTAGGCTGCAACAAGCGGGTGTTGGATGTCATTTAGCTGGTAAAATAATGAATCATCTTTTTTATGCTGATGATATTTTGTTAGTTTCACCTTCTGTCAAATCATTGAAAAAGCTCGTTGAGATCTGCGAGTGTTATGGTGAGGAGTTTGACATTCTGTTGATAAACATTGATTTTCCAATAATCCAATGCGCTCTTCTAATTGGAATCACAAATATAAGGTTCGACCTGGGCGCGACTTACACTAATTACCGCCGGTGACTTCTATATCTTCGAATCACCTAAAAAAATACCTAATTAAAGCTTGGTAACGTCCCAGTTTGTACTCGTTGATCTGCGCAACAGTCAAAGTCGCCATCTTTGTTATATGAGACCAATATATCTCGCGCATGCGTGACACGACGACTACCGCCCTTAAAGACCAGGAGAGGTTTAGGGCCTGTGCACAAATAAGAAATGGATATAGCGCAGTTTCCTTCGCACACTAAATTGCCTGTGACCGTGACTGTGATTCCGACTTTGTTTCAAATTTATACCAAAATAAGCGACCCTTAATTATTGTCATTCTTAAATACACGACTCATTGATCTGGGGTTTTTTCTAAGTATTAATCTAGTAGAGTTTATTTTCTT